TGAATGTCTGTCCAAACAGTGGCAGCGATTGGTATTCAACAAACAAAACCACATTTCATTCAATGAACGAGTTTTGGGTAAATTTTCAAAACTATTTTATCGGGACATCCGATGGACAGCATTAGAATCGGCGATCAAAAAGTGTGCAAACATTTCATCCATTGATATCACAATTAATGCAAAATTTGCTCAAAAAGTGTTTGAAATGCTTATGAATTCATACAAACACTTGAATCAAATTCACATCAGTTTTGTCAATAATAATTCACAAATAATTGACACAATTCTTGGCGAATATGGCCCACAAGTAACGGCTATACAAATGCCACAATCGGCTGCCTATGAGTTTAAACTGCACTCCACGTCCTACACAAAACTTAGACAACTGTCCAGTTATGGCACTGAACTTCAATTCCGGTCCCTTTTTGACGAGTTTTTAACACTGAATTTAACTAAAATTTCATTTAGTTTTGACTATTATGGCGACAATCAATTCAACGATGATATGTCTAATTTGCAGACATTTGTCGATCACTATAAGGATAGTCTGCAGTCCATTGATATAAATATCGCGCAATACCCGGAATACAAGTCATCCAAAAATTATATCCATGTATTGGATAAGATATCGCAACTGAAAGCATTGCGTGAATTAGTACTTCGTATGGATATCTCGAATGCATGGGTCAGTAAATCTGTGAATAATTATTTGAGCCGTGAATTTATTAGTAAATTCAAACATTTGCGAAGATTTCGATTGTTTACCACATGTTATAGGACATTAGGTATGAAAAAATTGATTGAATCCATGAATTGTTTGACGGATTTACAAGAATTACAGATATTTCTATACAATACAAAGTCAGTCCAAGAATGCAGTTTGGATTTGACACCGAAGTCGTTGTCTAATTTGAAACGATTGACACATTTGTCTTTAGATTTGGCTCATTTTGAATTCAATAATAATTTCTTGGACTCTATTCACACATATTTCCCATTTATTAAGTCACTCAATATGAAGATCCGTTGTAACTTCAATATATAATTAACTTTTACTTATATACGTTAACTAATGATTTATTTGTCTTAAAAACATAATAATTTAAAAGAAAGATTTTATTTATTAATAACTAAATATTTAAAATTATTTATAAATTAATGAATTTTTTGTTTAAATTGTATTACAAATCATTTAAAATATAAATGTATTTCAAATAATATAATAAAATTTTAATTGATTTTATGAACAGAATATGTGGCTGGTTTAATAAAATAACTAAATTATGTTATTTTAAATCATTGTATTAAAAAATCTATTTAAAATTTAGTAAATATTTAAAGTTTCTATGAAAAGGTTTTATTGGTAATTATATTATATATTGCTTATTTGTTTATAACTATGATAGCCGTAGTAATATATAAAATATTTGATGAAAATATTATTTTAATAATGTAAATCCATTTCAAAATACAGTATTACAATAGTTAATTTTACAATTATTATATAACTTATAAGATTCTACATTATGATAAGTAATATAATTTATAATTGCATATTTTGTAATTATTTATTAAGATTACACGTTAAAATAAAAATAATTTAACGTACAAGCTAAATATGTCAAATCACAAATTTTACTAAAATATATGCAATGCATTTACCAATTGCAGGTGCTCGCAAGTAATATTAATGTTACAAAACAATTTTTGAAAAGTCACTTGTTTATTTTTTAATACAATAGTAACTTAATTTTTTAAATGTGATGAAACATATTTAGTAAATCTTGTATATAAAGTGATTGTTTAAAAATTTAAAACATAACGAACTTCATTATTTATAATGTATAATTTTACCCAGTACTAATTATACATTTAATAAAGTACAATTAATTATACTACACAAGTGGTTATCAAATGTCATCAAAAAGGGTTTGTATTACTTTAAACGATATTCTTATACCAATTGTCTCATACATATTAACAATTAATTCAAAATTCATATAATATTCATAATTAGCGAAAGTTATCCACTGATGAGAATGAGCCTCAAGAAGAATATTATCCGAAAGACTCGTTCAACAGATTCGGTGATGACTTACGCAAAGAGTTGTTGTCTTACCTCTCACTCGAAGACTGTTTCCGATTTGAATGTCTGTCCAAACAGTGGCAGAGTTTTGTGTTCATCAAACAAAACCACATTTCATTCAATGAACAATATATGGGCAAATTGTCGCAAATATTTTATAGTGAACTCGAATGGGCAGCATTGGAAACCCTGATCAGAAAGTGTGCAAACATTACATCTATTGATATCATAATTAATTCAATATTTGCGGAACGAGTGTTTGAAATACTTATGGATTCATACAAACACTCATTGATTGCAATTCACGTAACATTTGGTAACAAAGATTACGAAATAATTGACACAATTCTGAGCAAATATGGCTCACTATTAACGGCAATACAAATACCAGAATCGGCGGTCAATGTGTTAAAAGTACACTACAAGTCACTCACAAAACTTAAACAACTTTCCGGTTATGGCTTTCAACTTAAATTCAACTCATTATTCGATGAATTATTAACTCTTAATTTAACAAAGATTTCATTTGATTTTGATGATTGGCTTAATCTTAATCTTAGCATGACTAATTTACAGACATTTGTCAATCACTATAAAAATAATTTAAAGTCGTTTGAGATAACTATATTGGAATCGTGTAGACGTCAAATATGGAGTTATTATAGAGAGGTATTAGCAATGGTATCACAACTGGATTCACTGCAAGAATTGGTTATTCGTATGAATATAAGGAATTCAACAATCGGTAGACGTGTTCATAAGTATCTGAGCCGTGAAATCATTCCTAAATTAAGACATTTGAGAAGTTTTCGGCTGTATATCAGATGCCATACGAACGCGGAATTGAAACAATTGTTTGAATCCATGAATTGTTTGACACGATTACGAGAATTACAGATAAATCTCTACAAAACCTACTCATCGTCGGGATGTGCTGTGGATTTGACCACAAAATCTTTGGCTAATTTGAAACGATTAACACATTTATCACTAGATCTGGCTAACTTTGAGCTCAATGGCAATTTCTCGGACTCAACCGACACATATTTGCCTAATATTAAGTTACTCAATGTGAGGGCTATTTATAACTTCAACAAAACGTTTTAAAAAATAATCATTAAATGTACATGTACAATACATGCTGTACTTAGTGTTTATCAGTTATGTTTTTAAGAATTTAAAATTGTAAAAGTTTCTATTTATTTATTAATAAATGTTGACAATTTCAAAACCGTTGTATACAGTTTAATCAAAATTAATAATTTGTTAAAATGATATTGCTAATGAAATTTTAGTATTGATAATGTATTGCCGTACTGTATATTAAATGAGGCATTCTTTGACTTTGAAATAATAGTAAATCTAAAACTGTTGCCAATTATATGGATAATTTAGATTTTATTGTATTAATATGTGATTAAATATTTTATGAATGCATTATGAATATATGAATATTAATAACTGAATATTGAAATAAAAACTTTACCTAAACTTTTGTGCAATCTATTTATGGGTTATTTTTAAAATAACAAACAAATTTATAATTTTTTATTAACTTATGTTTAAATAAAATGAGTTATCCATAAAAATATTTCAAATGTATATTAATTAATAAAACTGATTTGAAATAATTAGTTTATTTAAATTACCGGTATTAAATTCAATTCAAATATTTTACAGTTTATTATAGCTATGTACATAAGGAATGGCTTAATCTAAAATCATAATATCATACAGGTCCACATTAGTGGGCAACACATTCTCGCTAAGAATTGAAAGTTCAATAATTTTGGGACAAAAATCTACAAACATTTTGTGATCTACTTGTATGCAGTCATCACACGTACGGCAGTTATTATCACAGAATATAATGCGTTCAATATTCTTGAGTTTAGACAATGAATGCAATGCAGTGTCCGTTATCTCAAAGCTATCGAGACTTATGTACCGAAGTCGAGGGAAATGTTTGTCAATATCCGACACAAAGTTTTGTCGACTAATTAACTGGTCGTCGAGTGTTAAATGTGTCAATCGTTTCAATGCATTCAGTGATTCACACGTTAGCTCACAATAGTCATCGGCAGTGCGTATATCCATTTCCAGACGTTTTATTTGCTTGAAGTGTGTATTCATTGCGATCCAAAGCTGAATATAATCCTCACGCGAATCAATGTCCAAATCCAATGACAGTTTCTTCAATTTGCGACATTTAGTGCCGATTTGTCTCATTTGACTCACTCTTATAGCATTGATTGGTTTACAACATTCAACGCGTAAATCACATAATTGTGACATTTGTGACAAACCAGTCATTAATACTTCAATCGCCTTCTCATCGCATCTCTCATCGATAATCACATGAATTGATTTCATAGTATTTCTATAGCTTTTGACAAACACTTCAATACTATTCATGTCTTCAGTCTTGTATCGAAACTCAATACTCTTTAGTCTTTGAAATAATCTCTCATTTCTATCGCTATTTAATACATACGACAAACGCATGTCATATCGAAAGCAATTAAAACCAATTTCTGTGATCGCTGTAAAAGACTTCATATATCTGTCGATAATATTCGCCTGATTTCTGGTGTCAAAGCGAAATGATTTCAATTGTTTGGCAAACTTTGCCAAAAACTCGTTCACAGTTTGCGGCCTTAAATCGTGGGCTAAGTCCACATAAATGTCATTCAAATGATTGCAATGTTTGACAATTGACTGGTTGAAACGCAATAATTTGACATTGAGTCAACATCACTTGTCTGTCATTATCGGTTGTGCACATTATAACCGTGTGAAAGAGTGTTAGCACAGTTTGTACACCAGTTATAGATACCGAGATTAGTGAATCAATCTGTTGATGAGTTGCCATTCGTGTTCAGTGTTCACGATTAGATCCGTTTGTGTCTCATATATGAGTCGCTGGAACTGTTTGGACACACATTCCAAGCGAAACCGGTCTGAGAGTGAAAGATACGACAGTAAGTGTCGACACAAGTCATCGCCGAAACGGTCCATCGATTGTCTCATATTTGTGTCAATTCCGAGACAAACTCTTCGCGTGTTTTCAGACATTATTTAGCGTTTAATTCAACACTTATTTTGACACCAATTCACTAAAACTATAAATATGTCTCAATTATCAGTGAATTAGTTGTCAAACAATGTTTACATTGTATTTATTCACTAATAATAACGTCAATACAACTCATGTCCCCTTTAGTGATGAATGCATGCATTAGTGATACAAACACTCATATAATACTCACACGTATTGTCACATCATTTATACACTTATTGTCACATGTTTTGTGTGTTTTGTTTACATTGAATGGCATTTAACTGTAATTACAGTTATTGTGTCAAACATTGCATTAATTTTGTCGTAAATATAGTTTGCATTGAAATGAGAGTTAATTATTAATTAACACTAAAAATGGTTTGTTTTATACAATAAACACACAATCAGTATATGTTTAACACAACAAACACTTAAACTATTTAAACAAATCTCTAATCAATTGTTTGTCTCGTATTTAGTGGTCACTCATGTCGTGGTTTATGATGAACACCACTCCAGAGGAATATCACCCGAAGTACTCATTCGACAGATTCGGTGACGACTTATGCGAAGAGTTTTTATCTTATCTGCCGTTTGAGGACTCGTTTGTCTGCGAATGTGTGTCCAGACAGTGGCAGAGATGTCTGTTTACGAGCCGACACTCCCTCGAAGTGACGGCACGGCTGCTGAAGAAGTGGCAAAAGAGAGATAAAGACAATCCACTCATCGATGACATCAATTACGAGGCGTTGGACTCATTGGTGATGAAGTGTCCGAACATTAGATCCCTTCAAATGGACATCAAAAGCAATTTCGGCGAAAGAGTGTTCATTGAACTCATGAGTGCATACAAACAGCTGAAGACAATTGATGTCCGCTTTGTCGATGGGAACAACCCCTCGAGGATCGGCCGGATTTTGGCTGAATATGGCTCACAGTTGACGGCAATACAGATACCGCTGACAAGGCTTGACGTCTGGAGAGATCACTGCCGGTCACTGACACGACTGAGACGACTGTCCGGTCATAACTCTATGAGTCTACTGTTCAACGATAGCCATGAGCTGATGGTCACGACGCTGACCGACACGTCGTTGTATTACTACGGCTATCGAGACGGCCATAGTTTGCCGCTATTTGTCGATCACTACAGGAATCGGTTGAAGAGTTTGGAGTTACAGATGATTAAAGCGGATACTCCCGAGGAATATATTCATGTCATGACATGTTTACCACAATTGCAAGCATTGCGTGAATTGACACTTCATTTCGGTGTCAACACTGAGGGAAACATTCAGTCTATAGTCGACTATCACTGCAAAGAGTTTGTCTATAAGTGGCCACAACTGCGGACATATCGACTGCACATGAAGTTTGAAACGTTTGCACAGTTGAGACAATTGTATGAATCTGTGAATCGTATGAAGTGTTTACGTGAACTAGATTTAAGACTAAGTTTACGCGATGTTATGGCCGGAAATACCGGTAATACCAATTGGAAAGCCATGTCTACGCTATCGGTGCCTCATTTGACACGATTAACACATTTGTCACTCAATTTGCCTAATTGTGTAATAAATGAGACATTCTTTGACTCAATTCACACACATTTACCACTCATTCAAGTGTTTGTATTTAAGGCTATTTGTGAGAAAACGCCGGCAATTGTGGAGTCAATGAATAAGTTACGAAAACTCGATTATTTTGAGTTCAAAAATGTTAATTCATAAATCAATCAAATCACTAATCAATAGATAAAATTAGCGGTAATTATACACAAAAATATGTTATATAAAACATTAAAAAGTCTTAATTTTCTAACTGTATTTTTCATATTTTAAAAATAAACAATTATCAGTGCCTTAATTAATTATATCCTAAAGTTTTAATTCATTTATTAATTTGTGTGTTAATCACAAACTTCTCTATTATTTCCTGCAGTTTTGCTAAACTATTATCCGATTGTATTCTTTGAGATATTTTCACAAGTTTTTCATTTAATTCCTTAATGTTTAATATCTTTATGGATACATTCAATAATCCGGATAATAATTGTTTGCTATTTTTAAAAAACTATTTTATAAAATCCGCTCTTATTTTTAGTTTTATACAGACTGCGCATATATTTATGTAATAACCTCATTACAACACATGTAATCACATATTTGATCACTTTAGTGATTACTGGTACAACTGTATTGTGTAAATATAGGTATGCTTTTAGACTGCACAGTATTTTACACACAGAATAATAGTAAATTACAACAATTTTATGCAATAGTTACTGTACAGCACTTTGTCAACCAATTTGCTTATTATATTACAGTACTCTTTACTCTACAATATGAGGGTTGACTTAACTGCCTTACATGAAATAGGGTAATGCTATTTGACATGAATATGCATAACAGTAAACTGTAAAGTTTGCAAACTTTTTTGTATTCAATTTTGTTTGTAAAAAACGTGTTTTCAATAATTTTTGTCGCATTTCTCAGCAAAACAATTAAATTAATTGTAATATTTTAGACATATTTTGAAATGTAATAAAAATCTTGAGTCAATTGAAGTGCAAAACAAACCATAGTTTGGAGAAAATGTACGAAAATATCGGCGATTATGACGTGAATAGTAATGATATGAATAGTGGCCAACATTTGCAGCCATTGATGGACATCAGCACCGAATGTGATCTTAAGGACACACATATGGCACAGACAGCACATCCACACTCATCCACGTTCACCGCCAACTATGACAACAGGTATTGATTAGCACTAAACACACCATACATTTGATCATTGATTGCAAATAGCGCTCAAAAACATTGAATTCATTTGAGTCTTGAATTGCATTTTCAACACATTTCTCATAAACTATTGATTCAAATGAATGTAAAACCTTTGTTGAATAAGTGAATATAAATGGCAATCACTTATTGATGTCTTGTTTGACCACATATTTAGCGACTCGTGTGCGGCTCCCACTCAACCCGAAGACCCCGATAGCATGGCATCGACTGCCGGCCCACAGACTACCGGTGCTGTGAGAGACCGGTTCTGTTGGGTGTGTCATAAAGACAAGAGTAATATCGTTTGCAAACAGTGTCCCCGTAGTTATCATCTTAAGTGTATTCCAGCCAACACTTCCTCCTCAGCTAATAATGCCATAAGTGATACGAAAAGCAAGACTAACGGCAAGTCCTTTGACTCCTGGATTTGTGTCGAGTGTAAAGACGTTCTCAAAGAAGAGGCAGATTTGATCCCATCTCCGGACAGCACCGACGGCTCGTACCCACTCGTGAAGTCACGGTTGGCACAGATGTCGGCCGAAGAGATGTCGCAACTGTTGACGTTTGCGTTGCAGACGATCCGTCAGTCGGCGGACCCGACGTTTCACAAACCCGTCTCTCCCATCGTGTTCCCCGATTACCACCAATTAGTCCACTATCCCATGGATCTGTCCACCATTGACAGGAACATCAAGAATCACTGGTATAGGTCTCAGGCGGCCTTCCTGGCGGATATCAAATGGATTGTCCACAACTGCATTATCTATAACCACAGCAATCATCCGTTGACCACAAACGCTAAGTATTTGTCTCGAGTGGCGAAGAACAAGATGGAGGAGATGAAGCTGAGTCCGGACTGTTTCCGCAACTTCTACACCATCACCGACACGTCGGTCGCCGAACCCTTTCGTCGACCGCTTCAGTTGGTCGTCGATCGCAACACGATGACCACCCGTGACGACGAACAGGAGTACTGCGCCGATGCGGACGTCGACGACGAAGAAATCTATCAGTTCTCCAACTCGAGTACTCCGGTTCCTAATAAATACAAAAAGGGAGACATCATTTCGGCGCCCAATGGGATCCGTAAGAAATTTAATGGGAAGCGGTGGCAGATTGTGTTCGCGCGACGACTGCACCAAAAAGTCGCAGAAACAGGGCTTCTGTTCGCGTCACCTGTCGATGAAATCCACGCCTCAACAGCACAACCAATGGTCAGTCAAAGTCTCGTCGCTAAACAGAAGTGTCGGACGAGTAATTAGTGTCGAACCGTTGTCCGAATCCGATCACATAATGAACTCAATATCCGGTGAATCTCATCGTCCGCCTCAGCTCACAGCCAATCAATCAAGCGGTCAGTTCGACATCGCAGAGGCGGCCAATATGTTGATGTCTTTGAGCCATTCGCCCAACGCGTTAAACAATGGGTCGGCCGGTGGACAGCATAACAATTTCATCGTTCAGCACAACACCAGTCAGTCTCACAAATCACTCAACAGCCCATCGCAACAACAATCGTATCCATTGCCACTCATTTCATCGCAATATAGCCATACATACGACACAAATCAGACAAACCACTCGTCGGCCACACGGCCAAAACAATGCCTAACTGAGTGCTCGATAATCATTGATTCAGATACTGAGGACTTTAATGACGAAAACAATCAAAACATTATTAATAATAAATTTAATGAAAATCAATTGATAACAAAAGATGTGACTAAATATTCACTTCAAGAGCGAAGACAAATTGTTGACATGTGTACTAAATCAACATCTTATAGATCGGCGGCAAAAGCAATTAAGGAGACATTTCCAAATTGGCCTAAACATCCAACAGATGTAACAGTCAAACGAATCCATGATTTATGGATACAAAAATGTATGTATTTTTATACTAAAATTGAAACGATACAGAGATTAGTTCTAACCTAAAATTTACTTTCAGGTGAACTGAAGGACAACAAACGGATCCGATCAAAACCTGCCACAAACGATACTATCACTTCAGTCGTTTTGGGTGAATATAGTATTAACCCAATTCAATCGCCAAGAATTGTGGGCTCAAAGTGCGGAATAAGTGGTTCATCCGTTTATAAAGTATTGAAACAACACGAATTATTTCCATACAAAGTCAAAAACGTTCAAGTTTTGCATGGTAATAATAGACTTTACAACATCTAAGGAACTGTAACTGATTTTTTTATATTCAGATTCTGATTACCAAAAGAGGTACAAATTCGCTGAATGGGTTCTAACGCAACTCCATTCAGATTCAGAATTTGTTTCATTGCATCTCATATGTGATGAAAAGAACTTTCACGTCGATGGCCGCTTCAATAAGCAGACCACTCGCTACTGGTCCCAAACGAATCCACATTGGATCAGTGCGAATAAGAGTATGAGTAGTGAGAAAGTGATGGCATGGGCTGGTGTCTTTGGCGACCATATTATAGGCCCACTATTTTTTGACGACGTGAGAGGCGATTCATTTACCAAAATGATGGACACAGAGGTACTAACCTAACCTAACGTACCATATGCTAACCTAATCTAACCTTATTTTAAGGTTTTGCCAGTTATTAAAGAGATGCCAAACTTTGATAAAATGATATTCGTGTTGGACGGTACGTATGAGTGATAAAATGGGATCATTCATTTGGCTAAATTAAAATTTTTTATTGAGTTTATAGGTGCGTCACCTCATTACTCATTGGAGGCCAGAGCTTGGCTCAACAAGCATTTTCCCATGAGGTGGATCGGACGGGGCAGTCCACTGTATCCATGGCCTGCGAGATCACCAGACTTCAATTCTCTGGACTTTTTTGTCTGGGGTTATGTGGAGAGTAAGTTGAATATCATTTTATAGATAATCAACATCTAAGGAACCGTAACTAATTTATACTTTCAGATGAGACATATAAAGTACCGATTAATGGTAAGGAAGAGCTCAAGGAATCGATTCGCCGGTCATTTAAATTAATAACACCTGAAATGTTGGCAAATACTCGTAAGTCATTTGTAAAGCGACTTAAATTCGCGATATTAACCGGCGGAAAACATGTTGAACACAAACTGAAAAGTAAAATAGTTTTCGATGACAACGGTCAGATATTGTAATAATTTATAAACCAAAAAGTTTTGTCTTTTCATTATTGACCCGATATTTAGTCCACATTTTCACATAAATAATCATTTCATGATTTTAATTCATTAAAACTGACTTTCGGGCAGATTTTTGTTGTAATGCTTTTAATAGATTCAATGGATTTGTTTTCAAATTATCAATACATTGTATTCACTCTAACTAATTATAACATAATAATATTTCTTGTGTGTACTTAATGTTGACTACAATTCAATGACAGTATAGACTATTCATAGAAATTAAAATTCAATAAAATGTTATAAAAATTATGCCATAAATATAGCCATAAAATAGTGAATACAAGTAATATTTAATGTCATATCCTAGCACTCAAATGACAAATCACTACATATCTTAATCGTAACGCATAGCCATGAATACCGGTGCGTTGACAGTGCGTATATGGAGGCGGGAGGTTCGCTGTCACTGTCATGTACCGTATTTGAAGGCATGGGGGGGGGGCCGCGGCGTTGGCTTTCAGGTGAGACTTCGTGTTGAAGGAGATATCGATTGGTTTACAGCACTTGATCACAGCCGGGAAAGTCGCACACAAACTGGCGTTCCGTCACATGTACTTCACTCATGTGTGTCCGCAGGGAACCGATGGTCGAGAAGCTCTTATCGCACGCCTCGTGGCTACAGTGGAAGGGCTTTAAGCCGTAGTGTTTGTACATATGTGCGACCAAATTGCGCTTCTGTATGCACTGGTAGTGACAGTCCTCGACATTGCATTTGAAGCGCTTCTCCGACGAGTGTGTCATCAAATGGATGTTCAGATTCCAGAGGCTCTTGAAGTGCTTCCCGCAGCTCTGGATATGGCAGTGAAAGATCTTGAGGTGAATGCGATTCATGTGGAGATCGAGATCCTGTTTGTTGGCGAAGAATTTGCCGCACGATATGTACTGACATTCAAAGGGCGCGATGGAGTGGACGCGCGGGAGGTGTCGTATGAGACCTGACTTATTGGGCGCTGAATACAAGCACTCATTCACTACACACGCGATATCTTTGGGCAGTAATGGTGTGCCAACGGATCCACCCGTCACTCCACTCGTCTGCCCGCTGTCTGCCATCTCTTTGGCGTCTTTCGAGTGACTCAAACAACGACTGCCTGTTCACTGGTGTCTCATCCGGATTGACGGGTATTATGTATGTCTTGGACACCATTTGTGTCGGCATTTCGTGCGGTGTCTGTTCGCAGGCAACCATTGCCTCCATATTCGTGTGTTTCTGAGCTCTCGATGGCGTCGACTCGTGCGAAGAAGCGCTCAATCGGTGGACTCTTTTACTGTGATAGTCATACGATGTCTTCGAGACTCTCCTGTCGTCCATAATCTGACAATTCGTTTGATTCAAGACATTGTTTGCAGTGACAGTGGTGTTGAGTGAATGGTTACCTCTTTGAGATAATGGCATTGAATTTAGAGTCCAATACATCGAGCGTTTGGATCTCTTCGAGTGACAAATGGTGTAAATCCTTGAGAACTATCTTTAAACTGAAGATTTTGTTTAAATATATTTGAAACTCAATTAAGACATCAAAACATTGGTTCAAAACAATAACTCATTATTTTTAAAGTTTGTAAACTTTACAGTTCACTGTTATGCATATTCGTGTCAAATAGCATTACCCTATTTCATGTAAGGCAGTTAAGTTTCTGTTCAGGGTCAGCTTTACATTAAGCCTACCCGCATATTGTAGAGTAAAGAGTACTGTACATCAGCATTTCATGAATGTGTTTATGAAAGGAATAAATAATAGTTATTATTATATATTTGAATCCATTGCAACTTTTAACTCAACGTTTCATAAGGTATTTAAATTTGATTTTTACTTGCATTATACTATATTTATTACTAAACATATAGTTATAGTATAAATTAGTTTATATCATAATTTAACTTTTAAAATTATGTATTTATTGTATTTATCTAATGATATATTTTTTATATGAAGTATCTTTGCAATAGTTATGAAGACCACAGATGAGGAAGAATATTATCCGAAGAACTCATTCGACAGATTCGGTGATGACTTGTGTGGACTCGTATTGTCTTATCAATCACTGAAAGAGTGTTTCCGATTTGAATGTCTGTCCAAACAGTGGCAGAGGTGTGTATTCACACGAAGACACACCCTTTCAGTGGGAAAACGTAATAAAGTGTTGATTAAATCGCGAGTAAAAGAAAATGTTAATTGGATTCCCACTCATAATATGCAAGCATTGGAATCAGTGGTCAAAAAGTGTGCAAACATTACATCCATTGATATTGAGATCCATTCAGAAGATACCGAAAGAGTGTTTGAAATGCTAATCAATTCACACAAACACTCGTTGAGAAACATTAGCATTAGTTTCAAATCCGGTATTAATGAGCAAATAGTGGACAGAATTCTCGGCAAATATGGCTCACTATTAACCGCAATATCTGTACCGAAGTCTGGTTTTCAAGCGTTTAAATCCCATTCAAAGTCTTATATAAAATTAAGACAATTAACCGGTTATTCCGGATATAGTTTGTCGTCAGCCATAGTCACCGAAAACAATGAGATTTTAGTTAAGATTTTAACTGAATTTCACTTCTTTTACAGCGACTCTGATTGGCAGCGATTGACAGCATTTGTTGATTACTATAAGAATAGTTTAAAGTCATTATCAGTTTATTTTAACCTTCAGGACACGACTCCCGAAGAATACATTCGTGTATTGAAACTATTGCCACAAATGAAAGCACTTCGAGAACTAAATATTCAAATTATTTTTGCATTTAATACAAATCCCGATATCATTCAGACTGTTATCGACTATCACTGCAAAGAGTTTGTCAATCAATGGCCACAACTCAAGAGATATCAGTTGTTTATGATGTGCTTAACTGAACCACAAGTGAGACAATTGTATGAATCGGTGGGTCGTATGAAAGGCTTACGAAAACTGGATTTAATACTGAATACAACTTCAATGATCACTGAAGAGATAAAAGTTGATGTGTCATCGAAATCATTGTCTCCATTGAAAGGGTTAACACATTTGTCGTTACAGTTAAAGAATTGTGTATTAAATGATAGATTCTTTGACTCAATTCACTCACATTTACCACACATTCAGACCTTAGAAATCATGACTTTATTCAAACTTAACGCCAGTATTGAGGAGTCGGTCAAGAAGTTACCAAAACTTAAATATTTTAAATTCTGTTGAAATTATAATATTATTGATATTCATTTCAATTTCTTAAAATAATTATGATTTAAGTAAATCAACTGATTTTAACACTTATTATATTATTTGTGAAATTACTTCTGTTGTAGCAAAAAAGTTACTGTCAATAATAACCTGTCTCACAATTTTTAATAACATTTAATTTAAAAGTTAACAATAAAAGCATTTTATGATATTACCATGATTATATTTTCTATAATTAAATTATACTAATTTGCTAAAATTCAATATGAAATATTTATTACTTACCCAGAACACTAATATTCTATTAATAGTTAATGACTAATTAAATAATTTTTATGTATACGTACAGTATGTGCTATCAGTACAGTACCTGTATATCTAAATTGCAATAAAGTAATGAAATACTTATTAATAATAAATTATTAATATGGTTGTGCATTTAATAAACAATTCAATTATTAGTATCAAATATATTATTAATGGTTATTATTTATTTTAAATAACAAATTTGAAGTGATAACATATTTTCATGAATCATGACCATTATATAACTAAATACTAAGGTATTTATTAATAATTTTCTAATTACAGTATTACAATATTATACACGTATTATTATTATTCCTTTTATTTTATATGTTTATGTAATTATAATATAAGTTTCTTTTATCAAATAAGTCGGCAATAGATATGAATACCACAGATGCCCAAGCATATCCAAAAGACTCTTTCGACAGATTCGGTGATGACTTGTGTGGACTCGTGTTGTCTTATCTTTCACTGAAAGACAGCTTCAGATATGAATGTCTGTCCAAACAGTGGCAGAGATGTGTATTCACACGAAGACATACCCTCTCTGTCAGTGAAATGATTCCAGAAATGTGTCGAATAATAGATAATAAGGTGCTTCTGAACACATATAGGATGGCATTGGTATCAGTGGTCATCAATTGTCCAAACATTACATCCATTGATATTACAATAGATTCAGAAGAATCGGAAAAACTATTTGAAATACTAATGAAATCATACAAACATTTGAAGACAATTGCAATCAACTTTGATAACACACTTAATTTGCCAATAATAAACAATATTCTGTGTAAATATGGCTCACAATTGACTGCTATATCAGTTCCACAATCGGGTTATGAAGTGTTTAAAAGTAATTCAGAAACTTATACAAAACTGAGACAATTATCTCCTGATTATAAAGACATATTATTGTCAGCGATTGTCACCAAAAACAATGAAATATTAGTCAAGAATCTGACGAAATTGAGATTCTGTTACAATTACTCTGATTGGCAGCGATTGCAAGCATTTGTGGATTACTATAAGAATAGCTTAAAGTGTGCTTCAATTCGATTCTCTAAAGGTATTCCTCCCGAAGAATGTATTCGTGTATTGAAACTATTGCCACAAATGAAAGCATTACGAGAACTCAAGATTACAATACTTTATTTTAATGCGAATACCATTCAGTCTATCGTTGACTATCACTGCAAAGAGTTTGTCACTCAATGGCCACATCTTAAGAGATATCAGTTACGTCTGGGCTATGGTATTGCCACACAATTTACACAATTGTGTGAATCAATGAATCGTATGATACGCTTACAAAATTTAAGATTATTACTGATAACAGAATTGAATGGCAATACAGACACCATTGAATTGTCACCGAAATCATTGTCTCCATTGAAACGATTAACACATTTGACATTAAGAGCACCGAAATGTGTATTAAATGAGACATTCTTTGACTCAATTCACACACATTTACCATACATTCAGATATTGAAACTGATGACAAAATCTAGATTAAACGACAATATTAAGGAATCGGCCAAAAAGTTACCAAAACTTAAATGTTTTAATTTCTGTTGAAATAATAATATTGATATTCATTTCAATTTGTTAAAATAATTATGATAGTACAATCACAGTAAATTAACAAATTGTAACATTTATTATATAATTTTTTAATTATTTTTGTTTTGAGTCAATTGTTACCCATAATTGTTAATAAAGTTATAAGCTAATAAATTACTAACCATTAATAATTAATAAACCATTTTTATTATATTCATTATAATTTTATTTTCATAATTTGATTATTTAAAATTAAAACAATATTTAACATTTATTTATGTGTAATAATTTGTAAAATCCAATATAAAATATTAATAATGCCCTGGTAAATTATTGATTAAATGTTTAAGTATACGTACAGTATGTGCGATCAGTATTAATGCAGTACCTGTATATTTAAATTGCAATCAAGTAATGAAATACTTATGAATCATAACATATGGTGTATTTGGTTAGAAAACAAATAAATTATTATCATTTAATCAACATTTCATAAATTGTTGTTCATAGAAGCAATAATTATTTATATACTAATTTAAATCAATTATTTGAATGTTAATAGTTACTTTTAAAAAGTTCCAGGTATGATGCAAACTTTTAAGTTTATTTCAGTAAACATAATACAGATTATTCCTTTGACCTTGATCAAAGTTTGATAACATTGCATATTCTACACGTATACTTCTTATACTGAATCACATAAACAAAAATTACATAATAATAAGCTCCTAAACAAATGGTTGACTAAATTAATAATAATAATAATAATAAAGTTTGTGTTTATTAAATGGCATTTAAATATTGTGTTCATTAAAAACATGGACTCAGAAAGTGGTGATCAAAAGGATGCAAAAAAGGTATGGTTTAGTTATTTTGTGTTCAATCAATACAACCTCTCATTTATTGTACAAAACTATGCAAACATTTAGTCATCGATTAAGTTATCATTATTATAGGCAAAGATGTCGACGAATGACACTCAAGAGGAATATCTAAAAGACTCGTTCGATAGATTCGGTGATGACTTGTGTGGACTCGTGTTGTCTTATCTTTCACTGAAAGACAGCTTCAGATATGAATGTCTGTCCAAACAGTGGATGAGATCTATATTTACGCGAAGACATACCCTCTCTGTCAGTGAAATGATTCCAGAAATGTGTCGAATAATAGATAAAAAGAAGGTTCTGAACACATATAGGATGGCATTGGTATCAGTTGTCATCAATTGTCCAAACATTACATCCATTGATATTACAATAGATTCAGAAGAATCGGAAAGACTTTTTGAAATACTATTGAAATCATACAAACACTTAAAGAGAATTAAAGTCAGTTTTAGTACCGCTATTGACATCGAAATAATGGACAGAATTGTGTGTAAATATGGCTCACAATTGACGGCTATATCAGTCCCTAAAACACGGTATAAAGTATTTATAAGGCATTCAGAGTCTTATAAAAGTGTTTGACAATTATATCTCAATTCTAACATATTATTGTCAGCGATTGTCACCGAAAGCAATGAGATATTAGTCAAGAATTTGACAGAATTTCGATTCGTTTACAATAACACTGATTGGCAGCGATTGCAAGCATTTGTTGATTACTATAAGAATAGCATAAAATGTTTATCAATTCAATTCATTCCTCCCAAAGACATTCCTCCCGAAGAATATATTCGTGTATTGAAACTATTGCCACAAATGAAAGCATTACGAGAACTAAGGATTAAAACACTGTCTCCCAATGCGAATACCATTCGGTCTATCGTTGACTATCACTGCAAAGAGTTTGTCAATCAGTGGCCACAACTCAAGAGATATCAGTTATGTCTGGGCTATGGTATAGCCACACAATTAAGACAATTGTATGAATCAATGAATCGTATGAAACAATTACGAAGACTAGAGTTATTTCTGTTGACACAATTTGGCGACACCATTGAATTGACACCGAATTCATTGTCTCCATTGAAACGATTAACACATTTGACATTAAGAGCACCGAAATGTGGAATAAATGAGACATTCTTTGACTCAATTCACACACATTTACCACGACTTGAGACCTTAGAAATGAGTACTCATTTATTTACACTAAGGGACGGAACCAAGGAATCCGTAAAAAAGTTACCAAAACTTAAAAGTTTGAAATTTTTTTGAAATTTTTTTGAAATTTTTATTTTATTGATAAATCAATTACTGATAACTTTTCAGTGATAAGACTTGTGTTAATATTTTTATTCAAATTACTTGTATAACATTTTCATACTTTTTTGTTAATTATGATTCCCAATAAAATGATTTTGACTATATTTTTCTATATTTCTGAATTATACTTTTAATAAACTTAATAATACATACATCTGTACACTTTAAAACAATAACTCAAAAAGTATTTCAAAGTTTTAATTCATAACATTCTCTGAACTTATAAATAATTTCTATAATAATTGGAAATTATTAAATGTTTTATAATAAATGAAATAATTTACAAAATTAATGTATTTTATGTGTTGAAATCATTTCAATTAAACTTGATAAATTATTATATTACATAAGTTTTAAAAAAGTTTTGTAAAGTTTTGATATAATATAAAAATAATATAAAAAGTTTTGAGAAATAGTTTCAATAGTGGCGCTAAAGTATTGCATACAAAACGTTACTTTTGTTATTCAATTTATGTGCCCTTTAGTGATGAATGCATGCATTAGTGATACAAACACTCATATAATACTCACACGTATTGTCACATCATTTATGTCCACAAATCCAATGTTATATGTGTTTACAGTGAATGACATACAGAATATGAGAACAATTCTTATTATATTTGTTAAAATAATTTAACATTAATTATATATTTTAAACACCACTCATACCATTATTGCTTACATTAGTCTTAGACATGGATTCTGGAAGTTGTGGTCAAACGTCAGCTAAAAAAGTATGTTTTATAATAGGATTCTGTGATTCCTATATACAGTGCTAAACAATCGCTAATTATTCATTGAAAGCCCACTCAAACCACATATGAATTCACATTTAGACATCAAATGCATTAAATTTATCTGTATTTCAGACAAAGGTCCTTGGTCTTTCAAATTGTATAATGATCATTGTAAAAATATTTATTTCTAATGTAATGAATGTAATTGTATAAAACGTAGCATTTTGTTGTTTACAAAATTATCAATTATAAACACATTCCGTGGTTATGAGGTATAATTTTGTAATTATTTATAGATTACTATTATTATTAGCTATTAATATTGTGTTTATAATTATATTATACAATATTAAACTTATAAAATGTTATCAACATTAATAAACTATTATATTGTTTTAGAAAATAATATATTTTTATATAACCTAGTTTTGACTATGTTACTATGAAATTATCTGTAACAAAGTTATATACACCTCACTTTGTAAATAAATTTATTATTATTGTATTACAAAAAACATTATTAAAGTAGAAATATTAGAATTAAAACTATATAAAATATTTATTTTTCTAAAACAATAGAATAGTTTATTAATGTTTAATAACATTTTATAAGTATAATATTGTGTAATATAATAATAACAATAATATTTAATAATTACAAAATTAAAACGGAATTTGTTTATAAATAATAATTTTTTAAACAACAAAATTTAACGTTGTATAATATTAATTTCTATAAAGTGGTTGAGAATGATTTAATAGGTAAAAACTACAAAACATAATCTATTGGTCTATTTCGATTAAAAGAACCTATTATTGTATAGGAGATATCACTGAAAATGTCAACTGGTACTAACAATTACATTTGCTCCTGGTTGGTCTATAAAAATCATAATAAATTATTTAATAAGCTAAAATTTTTAATATTATTACATTATTTATTTCTTAACCATAAAACTCTCATAATACTATGACAATTATCATTTTACTAAAGAGATAAAATAGTTTATTGAATGATAATGGCCATTTTTAAATATATTATAAACATGTTGTAAATTATATAAAATAAAATTAATAATAGTATAATAATTGAACTCTAGATATTGAATAAATATCTTTGACAATGTTAAAAATTAAAAAATATATTTTTTCACTTTTGTTTAACAGCAATAAATGAGTAATTTAATAGAATTTTA